GTTGTATTTGGTCTAAGGAATAATTGTGTCTCTATTTTTTAGCTTTGCAATGCCACCTCAAATTCTCTATTAAATTGCTTTTTAGTTTAGGCATTTAATTTTGGTTGATGATAATTTTGAGATATGACTTTCCAGTAAGGTAATAAAAAATCAGCACAGCTTTTCCCAAAACCTAATTAAACAAGATTTCAAAGATCTTCGCCTCTAAAAGTTTGTGTTCATGAAAAACAAACATTTTACGAGTAATCATATGTAATGCCAGCTAAGCATCTAAAAAGTTCTCGTGGGAATACCCATTAAGTAGTGTCTTTCTCAGTTTAGCTTCTGGGCACGCAGCGAACCGCAACCGAAAAGTTTTTTGCACTGGTCAGATGGGTGTCCGTCTGCGTCTGCGTCACGTCTCCATTACATAACCATCACTGTCTGGTCTTTGGGCTTGTTAGCGTGCTGGCCACCTTATCCTAGCATCTTAGACAGCGATTAGCAGCTGGCGCCAGGCAGAATTTCTAATTGAGTGCCGAGTGGCATTTGCAATGAATTCTAGGGTGCGGTTCATTCCGAGTCCAGCCAAATCCATCCCATCCTGTTCCAGCCCCACGATCGTCATAAACGGCAATTAGCAGAGACAACATGGAAAATTGGGTCAGGGGGCTGCTAATTGCCATAAATATGAATAAAAGCCACCAGTGTTGGCCGTTTAATTAACATTTCGAACACGTTTTTGGACCGGCAGGCAACGTGTTATACAAATCCGAATTAGCATATTCACGCCGAGAAATTGCATAAAATGCCAAAACAGAAATAGCCAACTGGTGTGTGGTGTTTGCTGTTTGGTGTTTTGTCGGCATTCACGACAAGTTCAAGTTCAATGACATCAAACAATAATAGGGAAATAGCAGCAGCAACAACAGCAGCAGCAGCAGCATACATAATATGAGCCATGATTATGGCATCCATAGCCAAAGCCACAGCCACACACAAACCATTTAATATAAAGGTGTCTGTATCGTGCTGTATCGGCCTGGGAAATCTCGACTTTTGTATTGTGTTACGTATAGCCGGCGTTTTGCTCTACTAAACAGCAAGATATTCATTTGCATTTCCAGTTGGGCTTGAGGATTGTGGGTTTCTCCAAGCCAAATAGAAATTACAGCAATCATTCGGAAACCATTTCATTGTCAAGGTGAAAGGTGTGTAGCCCCAGAGTCGAGGCGTTAATAGCCAAATTGTGTAATTGCAATTGTAATTCCATTTTGGCTGGGGATCTATAGTTGAAGTAGATGTGGATCTACCACGAACCGTTACACTTCAAATTGCCGGCGGTTGAGCCGCAAAGCAAAGCTTATTTACTTAGATGAAATTAGCCCCCGACCTTGTCGCAGGAAGTCGGGAATTTAATGCTGATAAAATCAGAAACAACTCCGCCTGCCACTCTGCTGACTGCCTTCCAAGTTTCCGCCTCCGATTCTGGATTCTGTATTCTGGTTCACACGCTGCTCCATGGCTTCTGGCCATTTAATTGGAGAATCAAGTGCAGCGAAGGTACTTGGAACCCTTTGGCGGCCTGGTCATTGCCCTCGCCCCCCCTAAAAAAATACAAAAGAAAGAGCAATTTGCGTGGGTCGGATCAGCGCTAACTAAGTGGCTCTGTGTACGGGCATTTAAGCCGTACAAATGCGTCTTTTATGAGTCTCGAGCCCATGGTCAATTTATCATATCAACCCGGCGACCGACTTGCCAGGAACACTCAGCGAAAAGTCTACAATCAAATAAATTCATATAAGGCTGACTTGGCTTAAATGTCTTTATAGAAAACAGCAAATTTTTAAGAATGAAAAAAATATTTTTTTACTAAGGAACTCTAATTTTACATTTCTTACAATATTTATTATTATCAAATTATAAAAGTGTCTAACTGTTTTTAGTGCACCGCATCATTTAAAGCTTAAATTTGACTTCACACTGCCGCGATTTTGAAAATTTTCTGGGGGAAGCAATGTTTGTAGGCCGATCGAAACTAAACGAAATGAAATGAAATGAAAGGAAAGTCGTTTGGGTGCTTCAACTGAAGTTGGAGTCGGGGGATCTGTTGATGGGCGGGGATCCCTAATTGTGTCACTGTCGAAAGTTTCTCCGCCCCATTGGCGAATCTCACGTTTGGGAGTCTTGGGATCGGGAATTTTTGATACCAGATGCCAAATCCCCGAATCCCAAATCCCAGAGAGACCCGTTTCATGGGGTTCGTGCGGGTTGGCCCGCAAGTTCGTGATCTCCGGCTGGCGTACTTGTTCTCTAAGTGGCTACGAAATTCCAAAGCCACGCATCCGCAGCCAACACACGTCTTCGGCATCGCCATCATCGCCACATTGCCATATCGGTCAATGGTCAGCGACTTTGGCCGGTTTTTTGTTTGCCCAGCAAACAGCTTGGACTCTTGGACAATGTATGGAATGGAGTGCTATGGAATGGAGGGAGGATGGCCCCTGGTGTCAGGGTGTTTGCATATATGAAATATTTACGAGGAGGTGGAGTAGGAAGCTGGTCAAACGCTAACGCAAACGCAAAAGCAAACCGTTGGCATGGTTAGTAGTGTAATGGTTAACACGATAAGCCCGATAAGCCGGATCCGCCTTTCCACTTGACATTGAACCTGGTCCGTGGCAGAAATGTTAATTATATGCGCGTGGCTAAGCCGATGACTGGATCTTGATTAACGCTTGTGCTTTGGCCCAAGCCCAGGGTCCAAAGACGATGACGATGATGACGATGATGAGGATGATGAGAATGATGCTGCTGATGACATCAGCGGGTCGTGCAATTAATATCAAACCATAATGATGTTTACAGGTACCTGAATTTCAGCTTGAAGCCTGGCTAATACAAGTTAATTAGGCACATCGACTCTTAGGTTAGATGCTTCCGCAAAATACTATTCTTGCCATAAAGATGGGACCCGTAAAGCGGCGACTTATATGCGCAATAAACAAAAATATTGAAGATCTTCGTGCTGGGCACTAATGCCTTTGTAATTGGTTATAAATTAAGAAATCACAAAAACAGGCAATGGGCCACATAAAATATATTTGATGGGGGAAATCGGATAGCTTCGGATGGGCGGTTCACTGACCACATGCTCGCAGTGGTGTAGGTGTCAATGGAGGATCAGGTGTTCTTTCTTTCCCCAAGATTCTGCTTTAATAAGCATGAGAAAAACAAGAAATGAACTCACGTTCTGGAAGTTGATTGATGAAAACGCCCCATTGCGCAAAAAATGAGCCAGAGCCAAATTGAAATTGCCGTCTTCGCTTCGTGGCTTATAAAATAATGATAATGTGTGTGCGCTGGCTACCGGTTGGGATCTTCTGCTCGTTTCTATCGACCTTGAGCTTGAATTAAGGCTCGAACTTGATGGCCAGATGAAATTGCATAAGTTGTGGCTCGCAGTAAACCCTCGAAACGATTCGGATATCTGAGTTGATGGCTGGGCAAACAATTGGCATGGATCGATTTATCGATCGGGCTTTTGTTATGACGCAAATGCCACTTGTTGTGAAGTATACTTTATAATACCATCACATATCATATGGGTATATGCTATAGTATAGCATCTGCCATTTGCTTTAGTTCCATTGATTTATGGCTGGCAGCTGTCGGCGGCGGAGTTAGAACTAGTCGAAGATACAAATGTATCTGTATCTTTATCTGTATCTGTATCTGTATCTGTTGAGTCATGCTCACATCTATAATGGAACAATTCAATTACCAGGCCCTGCTGGGAAACTCGGAGTTCATCAAACTCGACGAGGAGTCCAACTCCAACTCCATCTCGAAGTCCAAGTCCATTAGGCCGTTTTGTTGGCCCGGCTTGTTAGTGTTACCGATTTGTGTGTGACTTGTGTGTGTATGTAATAATCAATAAGTAGGTGAGAAACCCCGACGGGGCAGTCTGTGCTTAAAAACACCATGGGTTCTCGCCATGGCCCATTCCGCGCCCATTCACAAAAATTCTTTACCACTTTATTTCCCTCTTTCAGAGATCCATTTCCATATGCAGCTTGGGCTTCGGACATGTGTTAATGAAAATTCCAAGAACTCTGAATGCAGGCTTCGTGGAGTGTCAGTACCAATGCCAGTACCAGTGCCAGTACCAGTACCCACGAATGTGGGTCAACGAGCCGACTATTGTCGCCTATCGTTTTGACTGGGCCAAATCAGTCAGTCAGAGTTTGGAGTTTGAAACTCGCAGCTCCAGCATTGCCTGTTTATTGAAAGACCATTAAACAATGGCTCTGGCTGTGGGCCTTCTACGGTTATGGACCGGATGATTGGTGGTTAGCTCGTCGAGTGGCAGTAACTACGTTTCGGTTTTGGCATTCGTTGACCGATATTCCTAAAGGCCCAGCCCGTGGAAAAGTCTCCTCTATCCTCGCTTTTTTTGGGTTTATTTGACTGTAAGTTCTGTTTAACCAAGTCGTTAAATTGAACACGCCCATGAGACCAGGAAGACACCTTTTATTGCCCGGGTAAATGTGAAAGTTAACACATTGCTCACTTTTGGTACAGATGCACATGCAGTTGCTGATGCAGATGGGTATTGATAATGATGGTCGAGGCCATTAGCACTTGCTTTTAATTATGAACCGAGTTCCACTCGATTTCAATTTAAAAGGGAAGGAAGGGCATGACACAATTGAATTTGGGACACCCCTGAGTAAAACCGCTCTTAATTAGGTTTTGGCCTCCTCTCCCCCAAAAGTGCAACAGACTTTTGGTCAATGAGTCTCTGAGTGACCCCTGACCCCGGACAAGTGAAAACGGCAGCTGTTGCCAGCTGATGGCAATTTGCCACAATGGCCTTAATTAGCCCGAAAAAACCCATGGATTTGCCAGCGATTTATGGCAAAATAATCGGAATAGACAAACTCGGCCAGATGCAGGCTAAGTACTTGGTACTTAGAGCTGGCTAAACATAATTTATGTTGACATAATAAACCACTTACCGGCTTGTGTGGGTATCAGGGCCATGGCCAGCAGGACGAGCGCCAGATAGAGCAGCTCCTCGAGTCCCGGCGGACTCGAACGTCTTCTTGTCATCTTGTGGTTGTAACTGCAATGGAGAGGGAATACGAGAGTTGAGTTTTAATACGTGATAACAAAGCACATTCTTGCGGACAGCCCGTTTAACCCTTAAATAACAATCAAATCGGTTGGGGCAATATGTTCCTTAAACGACTGGCACTTCATTAAAAAAGCATGACAGGGCGCATGCCGCCTTTTCTTTCTTTCCTTTCCTTTCTTTTTTTTTTTTTTGGTTTTCAAAATTTTCAATGGTCTCACAAAAGCAATTTACGTGCACAAACAGGACAGCGGCAGAAATTTTAGGGCGGGTGGGAGAGTTGACATGTGAGCCACCAAAATACCAAAACCACCACTAGTGGCACCCCTCCTCGAATGTCCTTTCGTTCGTTTTTGGTCCTGACTGGCTGTTTTTCTTCAATTGTTTGCGGAAATCACTTGTTTGCCGATTTGACAGATGTGCAATTTTCCCTGACATGCCCAACCCTCCAGCAACTTCCTCGTCTCATCTCATCTCATCTCATCTCATTTCATTTCATCTGTAGAGGTCAGAAGTCCAGGTTTTTTCCGCTTGCTGATTGAAAATGTCAGGCGCACGCAAAAGAAAACTTCCAGAAATTGGCCAACAGCCCCTCCTACTTCTTCGTATTTCCCCCCTGCGATGCCATCGTTATAATTAGCAGGCGGCAACCGCCACATATCACGGCTTATCGGTTGACAACTGGCCAACTAAGCCGGACTTATTTTATTGTCGCCCTGTAATGGCCACACATACGCTTCATATTTTCATTTATTAGCCCAGTTTTGCTTGTCGGCTTTTATTTGCTTTATGTTACTTTAATCAGGTCCCAGGAGATGCAACACGTGATTCCATCGAGGGGTTGCTCCCCCAAAAGGTTTTCGTTTTCAAAAGGTGAGGGGTGGTGGTGGCTGAGTGCCTGGTTTTTTGGGGGCGTGTCTGGGTGGATATGTTATCCAATTTTATTAATTCCATAAAGCAATAAAACTTCAACCTAAGGACAATGGGATCGGAAATAGTAGAGTGTTGAAATTAAACCCTGGATTGTCGACGGCGATAAGTTGAACTGGGAATTTCTGGTGGGAGGGAAATACGTATATCAAACTTGATGCCCCAAAATTGAAGTTTTAGTAATTAAATACTCCTCTTTTGGTTATTATTAAACTGTCAAATTAAATTGGTTTCCGTTTATTACCAGTATGACCTCCTTAAAAAAAATGTATAAATAATATGTTTTTTTAAGCGCGTTTATGGATCCGTTTTGTTCAGAACCCCATAGTGCGGAACCATCTGGTTTCCTCTTTGGTTTGGGGGTTTTTACATCCAGTTCCCCTTCCTTTTCCATTTTGAAACCTGAGTGGCTTCGATCTCCCCCTGCGGCTGCTTGGCTAGCTCGCTAACGAAACAGGCAAATAAAAATCGGCTAATGCTCGTCGGCTCGGCCTGTGGGGCTCATCATAAATGCGCGAATTGTGCTCATTAAAATGCAGGCAGAAAGGCAGCAGGAAGGGGCTGCCCCGGGAGCCACAAATAGCTTGGCTGCGTGCCGCGGCAACAGCAGCAGCAGCAACAGAAATAACAAGTAACAGGGGGGCATGCAACACACGAAGCCGCCTCGGTCAGGTTGAAAGATTGCTCCATGGAGCGGAGATGCTGGATGTGGCTGGTCGCCAGTTGCTAGTTGCTATTTGCTGAATGTTGGATGATTCCTCGTCTCGTCTTGACTTTTCAGTCGAAGAACGCCGCATGTTGATGACGAGTTGACATGACGAGCGACAATAACAATAATGATAATCTCACACTGCACTGCTGCGATGCCAAAGATCATAATGATGATGATGATGATGATGACTGACAACGGAAGCGACACAAACTGGCTATTAGTTGCCGGCCAAAATGGCACTTGTTCTAAAGCTATTAGCAACACACGAGCAACATGTTGCTGCCAGGCAGCAACTAGCAACTGGCAAACAGCAAACAGCAAGCAGCAACTTGTTGCGGTAATTATTCCGCCATGGCTAAATGGTAAACAATTTTTATTCTTTCGTATTTCTGCAGCTCTCAGTATTTGGGTTAAGACCAAATAAAGGGGTGGTCACCAGCTGCAAGAGGAGAATAGTATATAGTAACCTAACCCGCAGTGCGAGTGTGTGTGTGACACAAATTCAATTTGTGAATGAAGTGGCCAAAAGAGCTGCACACACTGGGGAGTTAGAAACTTTTACCCAAAACGAGGCAGGCGCTTGTTAACTTGGCCAACTTGGCCAGGGGCGTATATCATATACCGTATATCGGTCATGGGAAATTTGCAAGATTTTCGGAAGAAGGCTGGCTAGCTGGGTAACTGGCTGACTGGCAAGGGCAAGGCAAGGCGAGCAATGCATCTTCATCTTTATCTACCAAAACCAACAATGGCATGGCCATGTGCGTTATGAAAAATGTATTTAGGTTTAGAGCTGCGTTGCATTTACATAGGGGAAGTGGAAAAACTGGGCAACTCCTACTTGGCCAGGTCGAAATGCCCGGAAAAGGGTAGCCAGTTGCACATGCGTGGAGTTCTCGTTCCCCATTTCTCATCTTCCCATCTACCCATCTACCCAGTTGCACAAATTGCGGCCCAGCTGCTGCTGCTGCTGCACAGCTCTAATATAAATGTGTGGCACTCGGCGGAGGAGCTGCAAACAAACGAAAATTTACATTTTACCAAGGCAGACGGACGGCCTCAAATGGAGGGTGGGAAATTTTCCCAGATAGGCCATAACATACCATACCATACCATACTATACCATACCACAGCATCCCATCCATGGGCAGCATTTTGACAGTCGGGGCACGAGTTTTCAGCGGGGAAATGGCAAAGGCAAAGGCAAAAGCAATTGCAAAGGCAATGGCAATGGTAAAATAGAAGCCTTCGTTAGCATATCAAAAGGTGTCTCTTGTCAGAGAGCTATCTTGTGTTGGCTGTCGTGTCCGTGTCCGCTGTCCGTGTCTCCACGAGATTTGTACCATGACCCACAAATACACAAATACACTTTGGCGCACGCATCTAACGACGACCCATCGACATCGACTAGATCGCAGCCAGAGATCGATGGCAATTTGCAGTTGGCAAGATGCAAGATGCTAGCTGCTAGCTGCTAGCTGCTAGCTGCAGCTTTAATTGGATTCTGCCCGGTATCAAATTGACATTTAGCACACAGACTTTTCGAATGCGAACGCGAACCCGATCCTGCGATCCCCATTTCAAGTTCCCGTCAGAATGCCGTTTTGACCCCAACCTCATGCGTTCATCTGGGGAGATGGTGATGCTGATGGCGATGGCGATGGTCCAATCTCACCAAGCTTATCGCATTACACTTCTTCGATTGCGATTGCGATTGCGATTGCAATTGCAATTGTAATTTCTGTAGCAGCAGCAGTTGCTGCTGCCTGGCGTTAATTTGGTCTTATGTTCTTTGATCGCAGCAGTGCCACACATTTAACGGTCCAGCGGCAGCAGCAATTGCAAATTGCATTTTTAGTAATTTTTTTTTCCTATTTTTTTTCACTGGGACTACTTTTGTTCCATGCACTTAAAAAAATATTATATTTACGTTTCGCAAATAAATAGGAATTTTAATATTTATTAATGTTTCAAATATTTGTATATCCCTTTAAGTAAACTTATGTGTCCGGAATATTTCTGACAGTCTATTTTCAACAAGTAGAAGTTTTATCTAGCAACATTTTTTTTAGCATAAAAATGCTTGATATATTATTGTTTAGGGTTTTAACTTGGATTGTCAAGCTTTTAAAATTATTTTTTTTTTTTGCATTTCTACATATTTTTTCTAGGTGTACCATTTAGTTCTCCCCGTTGTGCACGTCATCCTCATAAATCTGCTGTTGCTGCCGCAGATCTTGCAGCTTTTGATGATGCTGTGCTGAACCCTAACACGTGTGTGCCTATTGCCAACGGCATTGCCATCGCCTCTAACTATCACTCAATCGCATAGTTGTGGCCAATTGTCGACCAAATTGTTGCGGCTTGAACCGCCGAGTACTGCCAATTTGCAGTTGGCCTTTGGGAATGTGCGACCTTGCAATTGGACATTGCATCAGGCATTCGATGTCCGGTAATTGTGCACTGGCAATTACAGAAAGTGTGATAGAAATGAGGTTTGGATAGTGGATAGTTGATGCTGGATGTAGAGATAGTTCTGGCCAAATAAGTAGATGCAAATCATCGACCCCATGCAAATTTGAGCATGGCCTTAGTATCCGACCGACCTTGTGGCACTTTCGGCACCATCTTCAGCGGCCAAATTGATGTTGCCTGGGCTTGGGCTTCGGAAGGAGATTAATAAAGCTCACGATCTGCAAACATAACGGTGCCAAGTGGCCAACAAGCAAACAAACGCGCCAAAACCGAACTTCTTTGGAGACCGACTTGTGAGTCTGAGTCACTTGTCGGCATGCGGAAGCTACCCAGCACGACTCCATGGAGTTGCAGTTACACTTCACTAAAAACAAGACCTACATTTTAGATTGTTAGCATTAAAAGAACAGCTTAACAAATCCATAAATAGATTCCTATTTCGAGGAATCACTTTAACTCAATGTTTGAGTCTTTCTCTTACTTGATTGTTTGAAGAAATATATTTGTAAAGCCATATATTTTATTTTTATTCCTAAGAAATATGTAAGAAATAATTTCATTAACAGATACATTAATATATATATATTTATACATTTCATAAAAGAATACCTTTTGTACGTCTCATTTACTTGTTAGAGAAAGTTAACGTTAAAAGATATATTTTTCTTAAGACCCAACTTAGGTTTTTGGTTTTTTTTTTTTGTTAGTGTAGAGCGGCTGGGAGCTGCAACGCCAACGCCAACTTGCAACAACAACTGGCAACAGCAACTGGCAACCGGCAACAGCTACTCCTATTCCACCGCCAGCAGCGCGACGGCAATTTGCCATTTTCGCTGTGTCGGAGGCAGCACTTGAACTGGATTAGTTGCCTGCC